TCAAACCTTAGAATATAACATAAAGTACAATATAGTCTACTTTACTTATCAACTTATTATACCGATATACTAGAAGTATATAGTATACAGCCTTATGTATATAATTTATTGCTATAAGAATATAAACGTATAACACATTAATAGATTAATAGATTAATAGATTAATACATAGCATAAATAAGTGTAAAGACTATAAGGTATAAAGAATGGTATAATATATACACATGATAAAATAGGTAGTAGTACATAAAAGGAATATAGTCATATAGTCATATAAACATATAATATTAATAAATACATATAATAATATATTAATATATTAATATAATAATATAGTCATATAATAATATAATAATAATATAAGATACTCTAATATACTAGAACATAGTTGAAACATATAAAAGTGCATTTGCCGGGACTCGAACCCGGATCTCCACCTTGGAAGGGTGGAATTCTGCCCTTAGACCACAAATGCTTACAATATAACATAAAGTAAAATAGAATATAGAGACCACAATAGGTTAGAATATAACATAAAGTACAATACAATATAACATAAACTAGAATATAGAGACGTCAAAACCTTAGAATATAACATAAAGTACAATATAGTCTACTTTACTTATCAACTTATTATACCGATATACTAGAAGTATATAGTATACAGCCTTATGTATATAATTTATTGCTATAAGAATATAAACGTATAACACATTAATAGATTAATAGATTAATAGATTAATACATAGCATAAATAAGTGTAAAGACTATAAGGTATAAAGAATGGTATAATATATACACATGATAAAATAGGTAGTAGTACATAAAAGGAATATAGTCATATAGTCATATAAACATATAATATTAATAAATACATATAATAATATATTAATATATTAATATAATAATATAGTCATATAATAATATAATAATAATATAAGATACTCTAATATACTAGAACATAGTTGAAACATATAAAAGTGCATTTGCCGGGACTCGAACCCGGATCTCCACCTTGGAAGGGTGGAATTCTGCCCTTAGACCACAAATGCTTACAATATAACATAAAGTAAAATAGAATATAGAGACCACAATAGGTTAGAATATAACATAAAGTACAATACAATATAACATAAACTAGAATATAGAGACGTCAAAACCTTAGAATATAACATAAAGTACAATATAGTCTACTTTACTTATCAACTTATTATACCGATATACTAGAAGTATATAGTATACAGCCTTATGTATATAATTTATTGGTGTATGAATGTAATTGTTTTTCATTTCAATTTATTTTTTATTTATATTGTTTGAATTAATTTTAATTATTATTTTCTTTTTTTCTTTTTTTTTCACTTTTTAACTTATTATTTCTTTTTATTTTATTTTTTTTTTTGTTTTTGTTAATAAAAATTATTCTTGTTATATTTTTAAAATGTTGTGTTTTGTTGTTGTGTTTTAGTTTTTGATTGAGTGAATAAAGTGGTTTCTCTTTGGTTTTGGTTTTGTTGCTTTTCGGGATGTTGGTGTAGCCTTTTTGAAGAAAAATCGTATGTCAACTAGTTAAAAAATGTGCTAATTAAAATAGAAAAATTAAAAAATGTCAAAGTAATTGCAGTAGTTATTTCGATTTATAGGCTTGCAAATGCCGAAAGTATTAACCCAATAAAAGAATTAAAAATTGAAATTGACGTCATGAAAGGATTCAAAAACCATGTAATTAAAAATATGATTGGTGTCATTGAACATTGCCTCTACCACGACCGGACGTGTGTTGTTGAAATGCGTAGTGAAGACTCAGGGATGGGGTTGGTTTCCACTGAGATATGAATAATAGGTACCAATTCTTTTCATATTTAATTAATTACTTTTTATTTATTATTCTTTTCTTTCTTTTTAATTTTTTTCAATTTTTTTAATTTCTCATTTTTGGATTTGAAGTTAGGTGTTAGAAACCCATTACAGCTATTTAAAATATTATCATCCTTCGATTCCCCCAGTTATGGTCTGGTTATGACGTTGCGGTTGGTTAGAAAAACGTCTTAATCAATACTACAAGAATAACAATGTTTATTATGTACAATGATGTGATGTCATTGATAATAAACGAATGGGTATTTATAAAGATGTTATTATTGCTTGTTAGAATACAAGTATATTTGATAATATAAGAAAGATTATCAAAGGAAAAGGGTCAAGTGGTTGATTCTAAAAAGAATATTAACCTAAAGCAATACAGTAGTAATTATGTACTCTCCTTAAAATAAGAAAATAAAGAAGAATTTTAAACCCATTAAAATCAAAAAGAAATTAAATAATGAATATTTAAATAATTGATGTTTAAAATACTCTATTCCACATCAAAAACGAGAAAAAGAAATTCTCATAGTTCAACAACTAGAAGCAAAGAATAAGGCAATAGTTGAAGAACAAATACATTTAAAGCGAAGGGACGGGATTAGTTAATCTCCCCTGAGCAAGGGACAATAGAAGATATTTCTATTAATACTTAATTATCTACTCTTTACTTAAGAAGTAACAACGTTATTGTTTAAGATATAGTTGATTTCGTGTAACATTGCTTCTGCAACAACCGAACATATGCTGTGGAACTGCTAGAAGAAAAGTCAGAGGTATGGTTGGTTTCTCCTGTGTCATGAGTAGTGGATACAAATTCTCTTTACACATAATTAATTCCTTTTTTCATTCCTTTTTTTTGTTGGTTATTTGATGTTTTATTTTTTGTTTTCATAGTTTTTTTTTGTTTCTGCAAATTATTTTGTTCCTAATGTTATTAAAGTTTTGAAAATCAATGATCTTGAATGAAAAAGGGAGGTCTCATATACTTCTTATTGATATATTAATTTATTGTAAACATTGTCCTATCACAATTCCATCTATTAGCCATATATTGTTAGGATGTCCTATAATGGAGATTAATTAAATATTAAAACATGAATGTGTATGTAAACAAATATATAAACATATATTAATTACCCATTTTATTGATTTTGATGAAATAGATTTTAATACACCTCATAAGTGTATTAATGGTAATGAAATCGTTATAACTTAAAATAAAGATTTATTGGTTAGTGACCATTCTTTTAATGTTAGAATAGATATATATTATCAAATCATCAAAGAAAAAAAAGGACATATTATTGATGTCGCCATATGTCAAGATAGAAACATTGAATTAAATTATATTTACAAAATAAATAAATACAAAGAATTACAAGAGGAGCTAAGACAAAGTAGAGAATCAACTTATGTAGAAATAATACTTGTAATATTAACAATCAATGGGACGATACATAAAGAAACAGTAAGAAGATTAAAATCACTAAAATTACAAATCAAATTCAACAAAATACTACGAACAATCATTATTAAAAACATGAAATACTTAATGTTCTACACAGGAAACACTGGCAACACATTAGAAGAGGGACCTTCTAATTCTCACATGATTGAAATGAACTCTATTGTAGAAATAGAGCATATTGAAATAAGTGAAATAATCACTTCTCAATATTCATAATATCAAATTATGGATATATCTATTAATTGTTATTTTTTGTTATTTATTTTTTTTTCAATTCAAATTTACCCCCTTGTTATTTTTAATAAAATTTTTTCTTTACTTTTTCTTTTATTAAATACATTTAACATTCTAAGTTTGGTGGAAGTTTCTTATATGACTGGTACTTGTTATTGCTTATTATATCTTTTTTGTTCATTAAGTTTCTGTGTTTTGTTCATGTGATTCAGTTGGTTGTTGTTTTTATTTTTATTTGTTTGTTGACTGTATTTCCTTAATTCTAATTCATCAACAGGAATAACTTGTATTTCTTTCAGTTCTTATTCAAAGATTTTAAGTTCCTGTCTTTTGAAATATGGTTTTAAGGTCACAATATTCTCATGTGGTGTAATGACTGAAAGAGGCCCAAATAGAGTAGCTCTTTCTTTCGTTATCTCATGCTTTTTCAGCACTCTGTTGACTCTAATTCTTTAATAACCATCGCCTTGACTGTTTTCTATAAACACTTTTGAGATTATTATTTGAAGGGTTTTTGTTTTGGTGTAGAGATGAATGTTTTGGTATTTTAAAATAACAAAGAGCTAATGTAGTTAACATTGTTTTTACGAATGTCTTACATGCATATCATTGAGCATCTTATAATCCCTGGTTTTTCAACACTACTTTCCTTTTTATTTTTTCTCTTTTGATAACATTAGTATGAAATCTTCATTTTAAGGTTTGTAGAAGTTTTGAAAGTTAAAAAAGATTGATAACATTAAAATTAAATCAACAGTAAATACAAAAAGAACCAGTTATCATCATAAAAAGAGAACTCAAATAAACAAATACAATGTGGTTTTGTTTATTACTTCTATTTATTTCATTTTGTGATGGTGAATATTGTCAAAAAGTGGATGGGAATGATATTGTAATCTATTCAAATGCTAGTTGTACTGATTCTACTTTAACTTCAACTATATTAGAAGGAGATTATACTAAATATTCATCAGTTATTTTTTTAGTTAGTAATTATAATGGGCAATTTCATTTTGGTTCAATAAGTAATACATTTAAAGCAAATAAAGTTATTGTACGATTAGAAGAAGGAAATAGTAAAAGTTATTATCTATACTTTAGAAATATTGAAACAAATTTTGAACTTGAATTGGTCAAAAACTCTTATTCATTTGAAAAAGTTCAATTTACTTTCTTTAATGGAAATAGTCCAACAAGAATAACTGGAGATGTTGATGAGTTATGGGTTGGTGGAAGTGATTATTCTAATTCTAATTATCATTTACCTATTCAACGTATTTACTTCAATTCAATTCCTATTAATTTAAAATTTAGTTCTAATTATGGTATATGGTATTTAATATCATCATATGAAGGAATAATCAATCAATTAACACCAAATTCATTAAATGGTAATTATTTTAATCAAACATGTGGTGGAATGATTCGTTATTTTAGTTATAATAATATTGAAATTCATGATATAACAACAGAATGTAATCATCAATTTAAAAAAGATGAAGAAGATGACTTTAATTTATTTATTGTTACTACCACTGTATCTTTATCTAATTATAATTATCTACTATCATTATCAACAAATAATTATATTATTAGAAACAACTATGGTTCATCAAATATTCATAGAGTATAACATATCCTAATCAATGGTTAAAATATGAATCATCAAATCAAATAACATTCAATATTTATAGAAAGAAAGAACCATATCAAAGAATTGAATTTAGTTTAAGAATTGAATCATCAAATGAAGGAACAACATTAATTAAAGAAGTAGAAAATAATGATAAATCAATTTCAACAGTAATTATATCTTCTTCAAAACCATTAACTAGTTTAACTAATATAAAATTTTCAGAAACAACATTAACAAAGAAAAGTCAAATAATGATTATTGGAATGAAAGGTGTTACATTAGATAGTATTGGATATAAGAATTGTAATATGATGATTTATAAAGAAGAAACAAGAGAATGTATTCAATGTGAAAAAGGGTATTATTTAAATTCAAATAAAGAATGTCAAATTGGTTCACATTGTATTAAAACAAATAAACAAAGTCATTGTATTGAATGTGAATATGGATATTATCTTAATTTAAATACAAAAACATGCGAAGTACTCAAAAATGGATGTAAAATTGGAAATGAAACATATTGTTATCAATGTAAAGAAGAATTTATTAAAGAAAATGGAGAATGTAAAGAAATTGATAATAAATGTAATAAATCAGAAAGAAATTATTGTTTAAAATGTTCAAATGGATATAAAATAGAAAATAATCAATGTAATGGAGATAAAGAAGATCAATGTTATTATGAAGGAAATAAATGTGTATCATGTTCAAATAGATATACATTAAATAATGGAAAATGTTCAAATAAAGAAAATCGAAATGGAAAGAATGAAGAAATATATTGTGAAAATGGAAAATATATCAATAATAATAAATGTATAGAATGTTCAAAATCAGAAATATGTCAAACAAATGATATTGAAATAAAATGTAAATATGAAGAATATTTAGATAATAATAAATGTATAAATAAAACATGTAAAGAAGATATGATAAAAGATCAAAATGGAAAATGTAATAATAATATTTCATATTGTTTAAATAAATCATATGTTAATGGAAAATGTGTTGAATGTTTAAATACATATTCACCTAATTTGAAGGGAGAATGTATTAATACAAAAATAGAATATTGTGAAGAACAAAATACATATGGATGTAAAAGATGTAAAGAAGGATATTATTTAACAAAAGACATGAAATGTTTAAAATGTGATGATAAATGTGAAACATGTTATGGAACATCTACATATTGTATGAGTTGTTCTAATGATAAATATTTAAGAAATGATAAAACATGTCAATCAAATAAAGAATTAAATGGAACATGTTTACAAATATTAGCAGATGGAAGTGGATGTGGAATATGTAAGAATGGATATTATAGAAATGGGAAAGGATGTTCAAAATGTGGAAAAGAATGTTTAACATGTAATCAAAAAGATAAATGTATAATATGTGGAGAAGGATATTTTATGAGTTCAACAGGAATATGTAAATCAACAACAACAATTAAAGGATGTAAAGGAGAAATAGATAAAGAATATGGATGTAGAGAATGTTTAACAGGATATTATTTAATAAATAAAGAATGTTCAAAATGTGGAAATAAATGTATAACATGTTTAAATGAGAAAGAATGTAATAAATGTGAAGAAGAATATATAATAATAAATAAAGAATGTATTCATTATTCAAATATTAATAAATGTAAAGAAACAAAAATAATAAATGTTCAAAATGTTCATTTTGGTATGGAATCAATGAAGAAGAACAAATGTAATAAAGAAATTGTATGGTGGATGATAATGATATATCATCATTATACTTATTATCATCATA